GGAGACGGGTGGTGGGCCTACTGTGTGCTGGGCACTGTGCCAGCCTGACGTACTTGGCACCCGTTCGTACTGTGGAGGAAGCGGGGGCTCAGAGAGGGACGAGCGCCCGTGTCAGGCTGCACAGCTGGCTCACGGGCGCACACGTGACCTGAGGGACAGCAAGCCTCGACTCTCCACCACTTCCTACAGTCTCAGCAGAGCGGAAAGAGCACTCTGGAGGCCCCCTGGGATGAGGAGGTCCACGGCTGGGGTCAGAGGCAGGAGAAGAGGGGAGCCCTGAGCTGGGGGCTGTGGGGAGGAAAGGGGAGCCCCGGCCCTCAGGGCTGGGGGTCCCCAGTGCCGGGCGGGGGGCTCTCACCAGAACATGTGGTCTTTGGTCACTTGCTCCTGCAGAAGTGTCCACTTCTTCCCCAGGTCCGATGATACGTAGAGCTTCAGGGCAGAGAAAAGAGAGACAGAAGTCATGCTTTGAGGATGAGCCTCTTCTGGGTCAGGGGTGATCTCCCCTGGATGACGAATATGCCCCAGGCAAGCCCTGCGCTCAACCTCTGAGAGGCCGGGAGGCCAAGGGTCAGGCATAGGGGTTCCAAAAAGAGTTATTCTGGCCTCCAGGCCAGCTGGTAGGAACTGAGAGACACCGGCTGGGCAGACCCCCGAGAGGAGGTGCCCCGAGCACCACTGTCCAGGAGGGACTTGACGACACGCTGCTGGGGGGTGCGGGGAGGGGGGTATGGGAGGCTGGAGGCCGGGTGTGTGTTGGGAAGGAGGGAGCAGGGTCTGCAAAGGGCAGGCAGTGTGAAAGCATGTCCACGCAGGAACAGCAGAGCCCTCGGTGCCTGGGGTCTGCGGTCACGGCAAGAGCACGGGGCCTCTGCTCACAAGGGCCCTTGCTTGGGTTTAATGCTCTGTGGCCACCAACTTGAACTTCCTAATATACATGTCTTTGAATCTGAGTTTTGTAAGTGAAGCCCAATGAAACAATGAGCTTATTGGCGGGCGGTGGCAGGGGGCGGCTCAGAGCCTGGGCTCCTGCAAGGTCCTTCCTCCTGCCACCTCCTGGGATAGACTCTGGGGGGGCCTGGGCTGGGGAGGGTCAGGGTCAGCCCCCTGCGGGCTGAGTCCAGTGGCAGGGCCGTGGGAGCTTGGGAGGGTCTGCACTCGCTGCACCAGTGTCCCCAGGCACAGGGCCGTGTGATGTTAAATAGCTCCTAAAAAGCACCATGACAGCCTGCCCCCCACCCCTCCCCGTGGGCGCCCACCTTGGGGGGGGGAAGAAAGGCACAGCCTAGGGGACACAGTCAGGGGTACCAGGACACTGTCCCCTGGTGACAGGTGAGAGCTACACTTGCAGAGAGCACAGCATAACGCAGAGACTTGCCCAGAGACTTGTCACTATGTTGGACGCCGGAGACTAACGTAGCATTGTGTGTCACTCTAGCAATAAAAGAAGCCCACCAGGCCAGGTTGAGAGAGACTGCAGGAGGAAGGCTTGTCCTGACTTTCAAGCATTTCTTGTATTGCACTGGACCCTGCAGAGCACACATCTGGCCCTGTGGAGCCTGCCAGGCTGCATGCGGCCGGTAAGATAAGGCACTTGTGGGGGCGGGGGGTCCTGGAACACAGGAGCCCTGTGTGTCCCTCCCGCCCCTCTCCCACCAGCTCTGTCCCGACTCAGCCTGGGGGCAAGAACTAACGCTGTCCCCCACCTCCCCCCAGCTGGGACGTGGGCAGGTCTACAATTGAGGTCCCCAGCATCTTTCATTTGTGATTTTGCCAAGTTTTCTTGGCCAGCCTCCCCTGTCACAGGGTGGGGTTTATGGGAACGCTGAAGCATCCACTCCATTCCTGAGAGAAGGGTGGGCCGTGAGGGTGTTCAGGGATCTCTGCACCCATGAAGCAGGACGCCTGTGGGAATCCTACACGTCCCACGTGGAACAGAGACCCAAGCGTTCCATTGCAGAGGCAGGGCTGGGCGGGGACACTCCGCTGTCACTCCTGGGCTGAGAGGCCAGCTATGCTAGGGGGCAGAGGAGACCTGGTTCCCCTGAGCCCTGGCTTATAATTGCTGTGCCTGCCTCAGTTTCCCCATCTATAAGATGGTATGTTTTGCAGGGGTGAGTCTGTGACTTGAGAGATCATGGGGTCCCATAGCCCTGGCTCCCAAGAGACTCCACAGTACACAGTTGCGTGACCTCCCAAAGCTTCCTAAACCTCAGTTCCCCACTTTCCTAAAACGGGGATCCAGAGCCCGGCCCTACTGGGATGTGTGTGCTGATCCCAGGCACCGCTGCAGAGCAGCTGGACTAATTATGTGCCCCATGAATCCCATCGGCATCATGTAGGGATATCATCATCGACCCCCGGCGGCTGCTGAGAGCTGACTGCATGGGCGCGGGCCTAGCACGTCCCCTCTTGGACCATCTCATGACATCTCTGTGAATCGGATGCTTTTATCAACCTGTTTTGCAGATTGAGAAGGGCAGCTAAGAGCAGCTGAGTGATTTGCCCGGGGTTGTTCGCTGGTAGAGGCCAGATTTGGATTCTCTGTGATTTGAATGCCCCTTCCTTTACTCCTCTGCACTCAAGACATGTCTAGAATAAGTCAGTTAAGCAGAGCAATTTCACGGCCAGACCTCAAGATGAAGGAAAGCTGATGCCAGCCACTGGACCTGTGTCTCCATCTGTGAAATGGGTCTAATAACCATGACAACAGTCGCCGGATTGGAGCCCACATCTGCTGGCCTTCAGGGCCGGCATGACACATGCTCCTCATCTGACCCAGCCTGTCCCCATCAGGGCCCCAAGTGATGGAGAGCAAGTGAGGTCACAGTGTCGTTCCTGCTGTTGTTCACGAAGGAAGGGTTTGTGGAATCTCAGAAGGGAAACTGGGGCTCCTCAAGCATCAGCCCTGTGCCGTCCTGGCCTTCAGTGTGGGCAGAGGTACCCCCATCCCGGAAGCTCACCCCAGACCTGCCTAGTGCCAATCACCCACCAGCTCCCAAGGCCAGGACCCCAGACCTCTCCTCACCACCCCATTGCCACACCCAGTAAGTCACAGGCTCCCAATGTGCTAACGTCCTCCACCTAACCCACAGCTGCTGTACCCCTGCCTCCTCTCCACCCTGCTGAGCCACCCGCATCTCTGTGGCTTCCTGAACCCCTCCTCTGGGCCTCCTGCCTGCAGCCCTCAGCCCTCCCATCCAGCCTGTGCTCCATGAGACAGCACCGGGATCTTTCTGGGACACACACCTGACCACGTCACTCTCTTGTGACCTTCCAGGGGATGCCACAAGCCCTTCCTTGGGATAACGCCCAAACTCCTATCACGGGCACTTAGGGTGCCTGGGCCGCCGGGCCCATATATCCCCCCATACCTCCCATGCCCCTGTCACGCTCAGGTCTGGGGTCCTGTGTGATGGTGTTGCTAATGTGTCTCATGGGGTCCTCTGAGCATCAGCACCTGCCATTCGATCTCACTGCAATGGCCTTCCTTGTCTTCATTCAGTGTTCAAGACTCCGTCTGAAGTCACCTCTTGGTCAAGGTTTGGCCAAGGTCAATGCTCAGAGGCCCTGGTATTGCAGAGCCAGGCTCAGAACCCAGTCCACTGGGTCGAGAAGCCTGTGTCAGGGCTCAGGGCCCAGGAGAGAACTGGGCTACAGTGCTATCCCTTTGCTGTACACCCCACTCTGGCCTGGAGGAGGGGTGCCCTAGGACATGCCCCCTAGTGCTGTCACCCACCTGGCCCCAGGAGCCCTGGCGCTTCTGCTCCTCATCTTCAGGACCCTCCTGCGCCCCTCGGCCCACTTCCACCTCTATCTGGGGCCTTGTCCTTGCTACCTGGCTTCTAGTAGATGCCCTACCTCTGAGGCCACAGGTTCAAGTCCCACATTCTGGATTCTTCCACCACCCTTGGTAGACTCCCTTTGTGCCTCCTTCTTCCCCACAGCTGTAGAAAGAAGACCCGATGCATCCCACCTCAGTGAGTTATCCTCGTCCTAACCACGGCATCCTAACCACGGCGTCCTAACCACGGTGTCCTAACCACATAGTCCTAATAACTATGGCATCCTAACCATGGTGTCCTAACCACAGCATCCTAATGACATCATCCTAACCATGGAGTCCTTACTATGGCAACCTAACCACGGCGTTCTAACCACATCATCCTAACCACGGCGTCCTAACCACAGCATCCTAACCACAGAGTCCTAACCACATCATCCTAACCATGGCGTCCCAACCACACCGTCCTAACCACGGCGTCCCAACCACACCATCCTAACCACGACGTCCCAACCACGGCGTCCTAACCACACCGTCCCAACCACGGCATCCTAACCACACTGTCCTAACCACGGCGTCCTAACCACACCGTCCTAACCACGGCATCCTAACCACATCGTCCTGACCACACCGTCCCAACCACGGCATCCTAACCACACCATCCTAACCACGGCGTCCTAACCACACTGTCCTAACCATGGTGTCCTAACCACACCATCCTAACCACACCGTCCTAACCACATCATCCTAACCATAGTGTCCTAACCACATCATCCTAACCATGGCGTCCTAACCACACCATCCTAACCA